AAGAATTGAGCAGGGTAAAGTGAGGCCTCACTTAAAACAAACAGGAAAGGACAAAACCATCCGTTTCTTTAAAGCTGAGAAGTATTCCTTTCTGGGAAGAAGTCTAAGCTCCAGCGAGTCCTCAATCAGTTGTCTAAGCAAATGACCGCTCAAGGAAGAATAATAACCATATTCTCCCTACAGGGAATTCTTTTACTACATGAGATCAAAACTGGCCTGAGTTAGGCAAATTGTCTCTGTTTTTAAGTACACATTATGTGGAGGAGAATTGGTGGGCAAACACGCAGAAATTGAGATACTTAGAATAAATCATGATTGCTGGATCACTGCTGCACCATGTCTGGAAATCTAAATCCAGAAATATGTATAGAGGAAGCATAGAAGGTCACCTCAGATGCCATCTAGTTGGCAGCCCAGTTATGCATAAACTGAAGTCACAGTAAAATTTCTGTAATTCTTCTGCTATGCACCATTATTATTCTTCACTGTCTGCTTGTGTGAATTGGGGATTTGATGAAGCACAGATAAGATTCTGAGTTGGTTCTTTTCCAGACATAAGGGATAAAAGAAGAAAATTCAGCCAAGCGTGGTGGCACACATCTGTAATCCCAGCACTTTGGGAGGCTGATGGGGGTGGATCACTTGAGGTCAGGAGTTTACGACCAGTCCGACTAACATGGTGAAACCCCATCTCTGCTAAATACAAAAAAAGTTGCCGGGCATGGTGGTGCATGCCTGTAACCACTCAGCTACTTGGGAGGCTGAGACAGGAGAATCGCCTGTACCCAGGAGGCAGAGGCTGCAGTGAGCCGAGATTGCACCATTGCAGCCATTGCACTCCAGCCTGGGCAACAAAAGAGAAAATCGATCTCAAAAAAAAAAGAGAAAGAAAGAAAATAAAATTTTCATGCAAGTGGAGTGATTTAGCACAGAGACCAAATGAAAAATCATATTATATTATGTTTTATATTTTTCTTGATTCTTGATGTTGGGGTATGCAGTGTAACAATTTCTAAAGGATTCAAACAAGACAGAGGTTGTAAGCAAATGAGTTCTAGGAAGTGTAGCCACAAAACTTTTCTTCAAATTTGACACTATAAAAAGATCGTTCACAAACTATACAAGTGACATTTCATTGATAAATAAGAAATCATTTTTTTAAAATACTAGTCTTTTCATTAGTTTATGGAGTGAAGCCAACACTATAAAGTGGTTTCTCAGTAACTTCTGAGCTGAGTCCCTCACTTGGCTGTGGCCTCCCTGAGAAGAGGGACCTTGTGTTCTCCATCCAAAACTCCCTCACAACACTTAAAAAGATACCCAATCATGGTAGGTTCTCAAAAAATTTTAACAGTGTGGCTCTACTTTCTCAGTAGCTGAAAAGAGTATCAGTTTAACCATGTGAAATTGCTTCTTTTGTAGTCAAAAATGGTCAAAGAGTGGCAATTTCACATACTTAAACCCAATACTTACTAATTACCCTTATACCGTGAGCTATTTCATTCATTCCACAAACATTTCCTAAGAGGTACTGTGTGCCCACCACTGTAGCTAGAACTAATCCCACTTTACAAGTGAGGAAAGAGATAAGCTAAGAGATTGCCAAAGACAAGTAGTTACCTGAAGAATAGAGAAATCTTGTGTATTAGTCCCTAAACCTTGTGTATTAGGAGCATTTTCATTGTAAGTGAAAGAAATCCAATCTAAACAATTATAAGTAGAAAAGTGGGATTAGGGTGTAATTCTTTTCAAGCACAGGGGCTCAAGTGATAGAAAAATTCTCTTTCTCTTTCCATCTCTTTGTTGTACTGGTCTCTCTTCTTGTATGTTGACTTCATTCTCTCTTTCTCTATACCTAGGCTTTCTCTATACATAGCTTGCCATCCAAAAGTATCTCAAATCTGTCCCAGTGCCCACACACTGGCTTTTATAGAAGGATATAACTGATCCTACTTGGGCCGTATGACCTGACCCAATCCTTACAGAGCCAAGATTGGAGTTTGCCAGACACCATGAGCTTACCTCCCATAGCCAGGGATAAGGCTCTATAATTGGCAATTCACCAGAGCCATCAGAGATAGAAAAGCAATTTTCCAATGGAAAGAGAAGGAGTGGCAGACAAAACCACAGATGTCCAATATATCAAAGGGATGCCTGTACTCACATGTTTATTGCAGCACTATTCACAATTGCAAAGATGTGGAATCAATCTAAGTGTCCATCAATGGATGAATAGGTACAGAAAATGTGGTGTATATATACACAATGGAATACTAGTCAGCCATATGAAGTAATGAAATCATGTCATCTGCAGCAACATGGATGGAACTGGAGGTCATTATCTTAAGTGAAATAAGCCAGGCACAAAAAGACAAATATCTCATGTTCTCAGTTGTATATGGGGACTAAAAATTTGGACACAAGGAGGTAGAGAGTGAAAAAAATAGATAAAGACTGGGAAGGGTAAGTGCAGGGGGAAGATGAAGACAAATAGATTAAAGGGTACAAACACACAGTAAGATAGAATGAATACATTCATCGTTTGATAGCAGAGCAGGGTGACTCTATTTAACAAAAATATATTGCACTCAGGTAATGCACACTCGGCATACTGAGTTGATCACTATGTATTGTATACACGTAATAAAATTTCTCCTGTACCCCATAAATTTGCATGAATAAAAAGAAAACACCACAGATGGCCACTACCACCTTGTCGAATCATCCTTACATGCCCCTGTCTTGTCTGAGAGCTCAAAACTATTTATGACTCATGAACTACGTCTGCATCACAGAGTTGGACTGAAAGAACGAATCACTACCTACTCCAATTTGGATGACCCCAACTTTTCCATCACCAGCCACAGGATGTATCTGTCACTTGCTTCTTGTCAGGGCCAAGGCACTACAGGACTTAGCACACAGTTTTGCTGAGCCAATGGATTTGGTGTCCCTGTGAGCCAGTTGGTTCTGAGCTACACCAAAGCTATATTATGTCTACGGACTATATGTGACCAGGTCAGACCCGGTCAATGGTTTCTGAATTAGTTGCCTCTTATTTCACCATATAAACCAAACAAAGGTGTGTGGGGGCATCAGTGCAAGCCCCTAAGAGGTGAGAGCCAGAAGGAATGCTGTGCTGCATTTCTAAAATGAGATCAACATTACAGGTATTTGGGAATTAATTTAGGCAGGGCAAAAGTTATCAGAAAATGTAGTTAAAATAGTCCGCAGATTTTCTTACATTCTTATAATATTTATACATTATTGATAGGAAATAAAATAAGTAGCTAAAGGCATCTACAGGTGTTTAATAAATGTTTATTGAACTAAACAGGATTAAATTTAGAGTTATTTGTCCTTCCAGTCAAATAGGAAAGTATGCTATGACTACTAGACTTAACTGTCTTCCCAAAGGGAAAGTGACAAATCTGGTAGCAATTAGGAAGTGGTGGGTGCAATGTCCTGGCAGGAGTTGGCTGTGGTTGAAGCCCAAAGGGTAGGACTACATCCACTATATGAGATGGTCTGGAATACACAAAGGGGGCCAAAGGAGGGGGCCTGGTTATCAAGAATAGCCTCACTGCACAGGGATGCCCTGCCTCCTGCCTGTGCACCCTGCTGAGGTCTTCTCTGGTGTCTAGGCTATTTTCTTAACAGAAGGACCACTTGAATATTGTGTCTTAATTCTATATGGACATGAGGGAGAGTCACAAGTTTAACAAGACAAAGGTCAAACATCTTAGATGAATATGGCCTTCAAAGGCTGGGCACAGCCCTTCAGAGACTGCCCAGCAAGAACAGACAGGCACCCAAAGAGCAAGATGCCACCCTAGGAACCTCAGAAGCCTTTGGCCACCTAGGACTAATTCAGTGTTACCCTGAGGTAAATGCCTCCCTGCAGGGTTGGCTGCTCACAAGGGAACTTTCCCAGAAAGTTTTTTTTTTAAACCATTTTCTCACAAAAAATTCACTGTTGCCAGCCTTGGGCCATTTTATATGCCAACACAACCACTATTTGGAGGATGAATGGTGGTGACAGTAAGGAAAGGGCTTCTTGTAGTTGATAAAGAATACTATTCCCAACTGGTGGAAGCTACCCTCACATTATTAATGTAGGCTGCACCATAGAACAAAACAATAATAATGGTAATAACACTTATATGGCACCTATGGTGGACCAAGAACACTTCCCTGGGCTTTCCAAACACTAACTCATTTAGTTACACAACCAACTTGCGAAGCCCATGCTATCATTACCCCAATGTTATAGCTGACCATCATGTGCAGGGAGCATTTGCCACCCAAGGCGAGGCTCTTAGCCACCATAAACATTGTTTCAAACAGAGGGCTTTTGTCTTTTAAGTAATATATAGAATATATGAGGAATGCACTTAGCACATATTATTATCATATAAACAACATAATATATAATCCATACAGTATATTATCATTAATAATTATTATTACCAAAATTATTATTATTACAAATAATTAATGGTAAAGCTTATCTGATTTGACTAAAAGTCACACAAGAACTAGTAATGAAGGAAATGGACAGGCAGGCCAAGGCTCCGACCCTATTTCCAAACCTGGGTTTACTGATTTACTGGTCTACAAACTTGGGTTTAGTATTTCCCTGGATGTTCCTGTAGAGATGGCCCCTCAAGTCTTTGGGTAATCTGGTTTGGAGATGTTCAGATAAAACTCCAAGAGTGTGCTATTGCATAATTGACACTTAAGTTTCTGAATATTAAAATAATGAGACTCAAAACAGGAATTTCAAATCTTAATCAGTCCAAAAAATAGTAAGAATTTAAGCATTATCAAGCAGACTTTCAAATGTAGTTTTCAGTTACTTCTGTGTGCAACTGCAGAAAGGAAATTGTGTTTCTTATGGCATCCATCTAAGACAAAAGATTTAGCAGCCATCCTAAAGAAAGCCCAGCTGGACAGATGTTTTGCAGGCATCGTTTAAGTATGAAGGCTGAGAAACTTACTATGGCCAGTATCTGAAAGTGATGTCCACACACCATCAAGTCACAGGATTGACTGCATTTGGTACTGAGTGGAAAGGATGTTCAGGGTCACTGCTGTGTGGCTGGATTGTGACTTCACAGCAGCCTCTGTCTACATCTCCTCAACCACAGCAACAGGAAAGGACACAGGGAAGATGAAAAGCTGTTTGCTCCTAACTGCTTTTATTGACTGAATTTGGGAGCTGCCAGAGCAACACGTGGGATTTTAGTTTATTTTTATTTTTTGGTTTGTGTGTATGTTTATTTGCTTTTTACCCAAAACAATTTTTTGAGTGTCACCTATGAAGAAATGGAAGGAATGAGAGCTTTAGCTGAAGGGTTTTTCCCCCACTAGCACAACCACTGCCATTTTAAGAAGTATTTCTGTCAGCTGCATGCTTTTGCTTGCAAGTGTTTGTGTAGCTACTAATGTTAAAAACAGAAGCTGTGGCATCCATTTTAAGTCTCAGGCATAAGGGAAAAAAATGTTGCCCTTGTTTAGAAGGCTCCAGTGTTTCCCACCAGTGCCCGAATAGGATGTTTGTTTTAGGCTGAGAGAAAGAATGGCAGGCAGGCAGAAAGTGAACTGAGAAATGGCTTTTTTTTTAAGTGTGCCAGATCGTTAATAACCAGTGAAGGATGGACTCAGGAAGCCTCAGAGCACATATTTCTGGGAGTGAAGTTGAAGACTTCATTAATATTCTAGAGGAATATTGTTCCCATGAAGTTTCCTATGGGCATAAAACCTAACCGATAGTCCCTTCTAAACAACTTGGTGCACTGTAGGCTCTAAGATAGCTCACAGAACCTCATTATCATTCGAGAAAAGACTTTCTTTCTCCACCTCAATATAGAAATAAGTTATCGTGTTTTGTTTTGTTGTTAATCCATTCCCATTTAGTCCATTTTGATTCTTTACTTTTATAGTTTGGGGTGAAATGCTGAAAATCCATTTCTTTGGAAATTGTTTAGCTTTAGTAACACAGAGTGTGCATATTTATTTTAACAATTTTTAGACCTACTTCAGCTTGACAAACTTTATCAGCCTACACCAGAGGCCTTTCAAATTTCAGTTTAGTCTGTCTAAAGCAGGTTATCCCTAGGGGCCCATGTCCATGGTTAGAGAAAAACACAAAGTCTACACTTTTGGCTAGAAAAAGATGGAAGGAGAGAAGCGTGGGGCGGGGTGGAGGGATTTTTCATTGCCTAATAGACCAATGCACACACACTAAGTAACGTGAGTGGTCCCAGGAGCTGCTGGAAGATAGATACCCCAATACCTAGACCTGAGCAGGGGACAAAAAAGAGAAAAGAAGAGACAAAATTTTGCTAACTCTGACTAATTTGTTGGGAGGTAGAAGGTAGACATGTCAAAGAAAAGAAAACTACGGAGAGGGAAGTGGGGAAGACTGCTCTTGTTTTATACAAAACCTCCTGAGGAGAGGCAAGAAAACAGGCAAGTAATAAATAACATACTCAAGTTTATCCTGAGCCCACACAACCCTCAGGGCTGAGGCTCTGCAGACCTCCTTCCCTGCCAGACCCACTGCCACTCGTCTGCGGCAAGGGGATGCCTGTCCTGCCCGAACACCCAAGCCTTCAGCCCTGGGTAAAAATATCTGTATTGGTGTTTTGTAGCTTTTTCTTCTGCACGCTGGTAAAAACAAACCCCGTTTGTTTAAAAATCAACTTCCCCACTCCTTCTCCAATTTTTTTCGAAACCCCTTAAAGGAAATGTCACCCCAACATAAGGAATTGGTCATTAGTATGTCTAACGGTGGACATTTTTTATGTAAAGCTCTGAATCTATAGCGAACAAAAGCAACTGTTGAGAACTCTCCAAAAAAATCGCCCAGCAATTTTAAGTTAACGGGCAAGATTAATGGATTGTCATATAACATGAAGGGAAAGTATTAGAAAAAAATGAAAGTGGCTCGACAAAATTGGTTTGGAATTGGCGTCTACCTGAAGGCCCCTCTGCCAGAGCATTTACTGTCTGCAATCTTTTCAGCTAAGCAGTGTATTAATTTGAAAGCCATGCCTCGTATGGATACCCAGCACTTAGTGGTTGGTTTTACGTTAGAAATGCTTAGTATGAAACCTGTGCTGAAAATTTGCCCAAACATCTCACAGTTGATTGCAAACCCAAGTGCCTGGGGGCTCTGAGTCCACACCTCAAGAATGCTGGAGTCGGGGGACTTTCTGGCTCCACACCTGGGTTTGTCAAGGCCTCTTCGGGCTGCTGGGAATGTGCCCTGCCTGGGGCCCGCTGCTCTCCCCATCAGCCCTCTGACAGATTAAAACACAACAGGGTCTGCTGCCTGACTGACACATTCCTCTCCTGTCTGCCTCTGAAAGGACTTTATTTAACAGTCCTGGAGCCGGGCTTTGACTGACAGATTGTGAAGGGTAAAAGTCATTCAGTTCCATTAAGCTCTGTAACTGCCCTGGAACAAAACACCTTCCAAAAAAAGTGTGGGGGGGGAGGGTAAAATAGAGCTGTGGAGAGTGGGGGCATGAGCTTTCGGGAGGAAAAAAAGGGGATTCTTTTCAGGTTCAAAAACAATCCTCCTCTTTGCCTTCTGTCTATCAATTAGGGCGGCATTCCCAGAGGGAATACAGGCCTGGCCTCATTGGTGTCATTCAGCTGCCAATCTCCTGACAGGGACACCAAAGGGCCTCATGTAGCGCTGCGGAAACTGTCTGTCAGGCCATCAGCAGCTGCTATGACGACATCGCCTCTGTTTTTCTAGGACTCTTATGGCAGGGGGGAGTTCACCCCAACAGAGTCTCAGAGTCTCAGCTCCAAATCTCTGTTCATATTTTCCTTTTACAACCAACCGCCACATCTCCTCAATCCCAGTGTGAATTTCTTCACGAAAACAACCCCGATTTCTTTGCCTGGCTCAGCTATGAGGTAAATAATAACTTGCCAGCCAAAGACACGGTCTTGGGTGTGAGAAGGGTGTTCTGCTCTGGGAAGAACCAAGTCCTGACTGAATACATTCAAGAACTCTGGCTCAGATGAGTCCAAAGACACCCGATTTGCAATGAAAGGTGTCTCAATCCACCAAAAGGCCCACACAGGCCGTGTGTGAAGAGCCGTGTGGCTCAACAGACGGCCTTCTGCCCAGCCTTAACCCTGTTTGGGTTGCTGTGGGTTTCATTCCCCTGGAGTTTTGCTTGGAGCCTGAAGGCTCAAGCGGAGAGCTCAACGCTTTAAGCCAAACTCAGCACCAAGCAACCACTTCCCACTGCTGTTTTTCCATCTTTCTCCCCGCTTTCCCCAAGGCCAGATTCACAGGGCTGCCTTGGGTTTGCCTCAAAGATTCCTTAGCCTCAGTTGATCACACAGAAGACCCAAGACTACAAAGGAAGAGTCCGTTTACCTGAGCTTCCTAGCCAGACTGGGGAAAATATCTCCACTCTCTTCCCTGCCCTCAACTCCCTCCTGCCGGCTCCAGATTCTGCCTGAGACTTGGGGAGGTAGATTCCAGCCGCCAGTGGCCCCCTGCAAACATACATGGTTGTCTCTGAGTTCTGTGATGTCTGTGTTTGTGATTCCTGGCATTTCCCTGGAAGTCTTTTCACATTACAGGGAGCTGCTTCCAAACAGTAATGATAGCACTTTGTACCAAACAGAGCTGGAGCTTGCTGCTGCCAAGCCCTCACGGTCGGGCCATCGTGTTGCAATGCTTCTGCTTCTATTACAGTTCTTCACATGTTCCACCCGAACCGAACAAAATGTTTAGCCAAACCCTGTAAGAACATGTACATAAAGCTGTCTCCATGCTGCCAAGGCGGTAAAGTCGATCTTTTTTCTTCCTTAAGTCTGAAAGCTCTGCTAAGGTCCAGGACTTCCTGAGCATAAACTCCATCTGGGGTGGCTGAAATCTGTCTACATAGCAATATACTGATTTTAGACACCCAGATGCAGGACCTTGGATATGCACTATCTAAATGAAGACTCTGCCTGGGGAAATTCAGAATTAACCAGATTTTTGGCACTGTAAGTATATGCAGAGAGGAGCAAATGGACAGGATGATGGGAGGGAGAGAGAGGTTAATGTGATTGCTGTCTTCCTGCTCTGCAGCCTCGGGAAGACACACTCAGAAGCCAGCCCTTTGCCATCTGCATGGATAGAAATGGCAGCAGTCATGGGAGGCACTAATAGTTCACTAATGAGTGAACATTTCCACACTGCTTTGCAGATCTTTGGTTATTATGCACATTTTCATTACTGAAGCAGAGAAGAAACCAACCTAAGGGATTGGGCAGGCCATCAAGGATACACACAAAGTGCTCTCACCTCCTGGGGCATCACCAAAAAGAGAATTTAGTAGCTGGATCAAAGGCTATTGGGAACATTTCACTCAGGATGAATTATCTTGAAAACACCACCTGGAGTAGACCCAAATGAGCAGATGCTTTGGAGCTCCTGGATGCTGAGTGGTGGCATGAATTCCCAACCTGGAGCCCCACGTCACCATCCAATGTCCAGTAACCCCATCCGTTCCCTTTGTATTTTCCACAAGGACTTCAGATCCTGTACGATGTGATGCTCACACTTCTGGCCTTACCATAGTCAGTGGTTTCCAAAAGCTTCTCAATTGAAGGCACAATAGTCTAAGATCTGAATATTGAATTGTCTTTGCTGGAAAGACAACTGTCTTTGTTTACCGCTTTCTGAAGCAATTCCTGGCTGTTTATGCCACTTGCAATTCTACATAGCTCTCTCTGGCCTTGTGTTCCAACATCTGTTATATTAGGTACTGTGCCTTTCCTGTTTTTCTTTCCATTGTGCTAGGCAAGAATTAAAGGGTCCTTTGAGCCCTCAACACAGTGATGTATATAAAACTCACTGCGTAGCATATTAGTTGAATTTGTCCTTATAGTATTTCCCCTTGATTGGTTACATTGTGGGTAATCTTCAACCAAACCTGTTAGTTACAGTTTAATTTTAACTAAATAAATAGTTCCTAGTATTTAGTATTTATATACAAATTTAGACAATTTGTTCTTATTTCTGTGAGTAGATTCCCCCTACTGTAAATTAGCATACTTCTAATTAATCTT